TCTTATGTGAAAACTCAAAAATGATGATTTTTTTTTTTTGAGTTGTCAGTCTGTAGCTTAGTGATATGCACTTTTTTCTTGTCAACAACTGATTGGGACCTTGAACGACTACAAATTAGTTTAGTGACGGGCAACTGTCAGATATCTTTGAATCTGTTGAAAATGAACAAGGTTGACAGGATCTTGAGTCTAATGGGTCCTTCAAATGGTTGATTTGTGCTTAGTGGACAACTAGACAATAAGCAGTATGAAATATTGGAAATCAATACTTTGCTATGGAATTTCATTATACCCCAATGTTTTCGGTTTATAGTATTTTATATTTTGATGGATTATCTGAAGGAAATGATCATCTAAGACATAGGGATTGTTACAACACCTGTGCACAGTCTTAAAAATCAGTCATGAGCAATGTTTGTGAAGCATTAATATTGATTTGTTTTCACATACAATCTTTGCGTGTTGTAGTCTGAGAGTTAAAAACAGTAGATTAAAATAAAAATGTCCCAGAGAAATTTCTGTGTTTCTGCTCAGTTTCTAATCCATCATCTTTTGATGTTTTAGGAGACACAGAAAAGGGTCACGCAAATCGAACCACTAAGAACAAGGATGCCCATGTCTGTGGCAGGTGCTGTGCTGAGTTCTTTGAATTATCAGATCTCCTGCAACACAAGAAGAACTGTACTAAAAATCAATTAGTTTTAATTGTGAATGAAAATCCAGCTTCTCCTTCTGAAACCTTCCCTCCTCGTTCCCCTTCTGATAATCCTGATGAACAGATGAATGACCTAGTTAATAACACAGATCAAGTCGACTGCAGTGACCTTTCAGAGCATAACAAACTTGACAAGGAAGAATCCATGGATGTGGAGGCTTCCAGCATTAACAATAGCAGTAGCAGTTCCAAGAGTGTCAACAATAGTATTACAAGCAGTAACAGCTCCACAATGGGTACCTCAGCTATAACAACCTCTCTACCTCACATAGGGGATCTGACCGCAGTAGGCAACTTTTCAGTGATAAATAGCAATGTCATCATAGAAAATCTTCAAAGTACAAAAGTGGCAGTAGCACAGTTCTCACAGGAAGCAAGATGTAATGGTGCGTCAAATAATAAGCTTGCTGTACCTGCCCTAATGGAGCAACTGTTGGCTTTACAGCAACAGCAGATCCACCAGTTGCAACTGATTGAACAAATTCGTCACCAAATATTATTGTTGGCTTCCCAAACCACAGACATGTCAACATCTTCTAGCCCTTCTCAAGGTACTTTACGAACATCTGCCAACCCCTTGTCCACATTAAGTTCCCATTTATCTCAGCAGCTGGCTGCGGCAGCTGGATTAGCACAAAGCCTTGCTAGTCAATCTGCCAGCATCAGTGGTTTGAAACAACTACCCCCTATACAGCTACCTCAGAGCAACTCTGGCAATATTATAATTCCATCCAGTAGTGGCTCTTCTCCAAATATTAACATACTGACAGCAGCAGTTACAACACCATCCTCAGAAAAAGTGGCTTCAAATGTTGGTGGTTCACAGCTCAGCAACCCACCAGTATCAGCATCATCTTCACCAGCTTTTGCAATAAGCAGTTTATTAAGTCCTGCATCTAATCCACTTCTACCTCAATCCGCCCCTAATAACTCGGTTTTCTCCAACCCCTTGTCCAATCTCGGAACACCTGCAGAGGATTTAAACTCCTTGACTGCCTTGGCACAGCAAAGAAAAAGCAAGCCACCAAATGTAACTGCTTTTGAAGCAAAAAGTACTTCTGATGAGGCATTCTTTAAACATAAATGCAGGTTCTGTGCGAAAGTCTTTGGGAGTGACAGTGCCTTGCAGATTCACTTACGTTCTCACACTGGCGAGAGGCCCTTCAAGTGCAACATATGTGGAAACAGATTCTCCACAAAGGGAAACTTAAAAGTCCACTTTCAGCGTCATAAAGAAAAATACCCTCATATTCAAATGAATCCATACCCAGTGCCAGAGCATTTGGACAATATTCCTACAAGCACAGGTATTCCTTATGGGATGTCTATCCCACCAGAGAAACCTGTAACCAGCTGGCTGGACAGCAAGCCAGTTTTGTCTACTTTGACTACTTCTGTTGGCCTGCCACTCCCACCAACAATTCCAAGCTTGACACCATTTATCAAAACTGAGGAGCCTCAACCTATTCCCATTAGCCATAATTCGGCTAGCCCTCCATGTTCTGTCAAAAGCGACTCGGGAGTAGCTGATCCTGCTGCAAAAAGTTCAAATGGACATTCAGATGAGGCAGAGGTGGCTGCTTTGCCTATCGCAAATGGTAAAACAGAAGAAAACACTCACATTTCAAACTCCTTCACCAATATTAACAGCTCTGTGAGCTCACCGGCAGCAGACACTGGCTCCAACACCATTGTCACTTTTACAAATCCACTGATGCCTCTAATGTCAGAGCAATTCAAGGCAAAGTTTCCATTTGGAGGACTACTAGATTCAACGTCAGCATCAGAAACATCAAAATTGCAGCAGCTGGTAGAAAATATTGACAAAAAGGCAACCGATCCTAATGAGTGTATTATTTGCCATCGAGTTCTCAGTTGCCAGAGTGCATTAAAAATGCATTATCGCACACATACTGGTGAAAGGCCATTTAAATGTAAAATTTGTGGTCGTGCTTTCACTACTAAAGGAAATTTAAAGACTCATTACAGTGTTCATCGTGCCATGCCCCCGCTGAGAGTACAACATTCATGCCCGATCTGTCAGAAAAAGTTCACCAATGCTGTCGTGCTACAGCAGCATATCAGAATGCATATGGGAGGACAGATTCCCAATACGCCTATCACAGAAAACTATCCAGAGTCGATGGAATCTGACACAGGATCTTTCGATGAGAAGAATTTTGATGATCTAGACAACTTCTCAGATGAGAACATGGAAGACTGTCCTGACAGCAGCGTGCCAGATACCCCGAAGTCTGTTGATGTGTCCCAAGACAGCTTATCTTCTTCCCCTCTGCCACTGGAAATGTCAAGTATTGCTGCTTTAGAAAATCAAATGAAGATGATCAACGCAGGACTTGCAGAACAACTTCAAGCTAGCTTAAAATCAGTTGAAAATGGGTCAGTGGAAGGGGATGTTATGACAAATGATTCATCATCTATTGGTGGTGATATGGAAAGCCAAAGTGCTGGAAGTCCTGCTCTCTCAGAGTCTACCTCTTCTATGCAGGCCTTGTCCCCATCCAACAGCACTAATGATTACCACAAATCACCAGGTATTGAAGAGAAACAAGTAAGAGCTTTACCAAGTGAGTTTGCCAATGGTTTGTCTCCAACCCCTGCTAATGGTGGTGCTTTGGACTTGACATCTAGTAACACAGATAAAATAATTAAAGAAGAATCTTTGAGTATGCTCTTTCCGTTCAGAGATAGAGGTAAATTTAAAAACACAGCGTGTGACATTTGTGGCAAAACATTTGCTTGTCAGAGTGCCTTGGACATTCATTACAGAAGTCATACCAAAGAGAGACCATTTATTTGCACAGTTTGCAATCGTGGCTTTTCCACAAAGGGTAATTTGAAGCAGCATATGTTGACACATCAAATGCGAGATCTGCCATCACAGCTTTTTGAGCCCAGTTCCAATATTGGCCCTAATCAGAACTCTTCAGTTATACCTGCTAATTCATTGTCATCTCTCATAAAGACTGAGGTTAATGGCTTTCTGCATGGCTCTCCTCAGGATAGCAAAGAAACACCGCCTGGTCTTGTTCCTCTGGGGCCTTTGCCATCTTCTGCCACATCACCAGTTCTGCTTCCAGCTCTACCCCGAAGAACTCCCAAACAGCACTACTGCAACACATGTGGGAAAACATTTTCATCTTCTAGTGCTTTGCAGATTCATGAAAGGACACACACTGGCGAAAAGCCTTTTGCCTGCACTATATGTGGAAGAGCTTTCACGACAAAAGGCAATCTTAAGGTACTTTCCTTCTTGCTGCTGTTATGCTGTTGCATGGTTTGGGGTTGGTTGGTTGGGTTTTTTTTACATTTACATCTGCAGTGTTGTAAACTACGCTACTTTTAGATATTTGGGGTATGGAAAATGGTTTTAAATGGTTAACTTTGGCACCAGTAGATTGTCTCATGCTGAGTGCCTGGTGTTTTGAACAGGATTGAAGAGTTTAATGTAGCAAGCTATTTCTGGTTTGATTAAAACGCACCAAATTCACTATGTAGTCTGTGAAACAGGATAGCCGAATGTTGCTAGGGGGTGTTTGTTTAAAGATATGCATGAACTGTACAATGTACGCTACTTATTAAGCATTTCATCTTAAATATACTATTTTCATAACTATCCTGCACAACAGACTTTTCTAACTAATAATTCTTGAACTAATAGGCATTATTTTAATTGATTATATAACTAATATTTCCTACTGATGTGTTGAAAAAGCAAATATACTTAAGTTCTAGAACACTAGTTGAGCACTTTACTGTGTACATGTTTCTGTTGACAGAGTATTTCTCTAGAGATTTCTGCCAGTAATGTGAGATGAATAATTACTTTCAGGCTATTCTGTCTATACACAAGGCTCTCCGATGAGCAATCTGTAAAGGATACTTTCTTCCTGTCTGAAAAGGACATTTATAGGGTAAAGTGTGTCAAATACAATACTTACCATTGCAATGAAAATGGACATAGCAATTTTAATCCTGAAAGTAGCTAGCTGCAATTGACTGAATAATATAAGGCTATTATAAACTAAATACATGTAATGAAAAAGAGTAATAAGCAATGTATTGTTCAGGAGGGAAAAGCTGGGCATTCTGCATAATGCTGGTAGCTAGGTGCAAATGAATCTTATTTGTTGTTACTGATCTGAACTGGAATATTACATCCTTTACCTTCAGTGGTGTTTTTTACATAAATAAGAATAGACACATGGACTGTCTTCTTTGTTTTGTGTTAAGGTATATTTGATCAGGCAGAATGAATTCCACTGCTAACCACCTTCCTTCCCCCCACCCACTCCCTTCTTGCAGGTTCACATGGGCACTCACATGTGGAACAGCACTCCTGCGAGACGAGGCAGACGACTTTCCGTGGACGGTCCCATGACATTTCTAGGAGGCAATCCTGTAAAATTCCCAGAAATGTTTCAGAAAGATTTGGCTGCAAGGTCAGGAAACGGAGACCCTTCCAGCTTCTGGAATCAGTATGCAGCTGCACTCTCCAATGGCTTGGCTATGAAGACCAATGAGATCTCAGTTATTCAGAATGGTGGCATCCCTCCAATTCCTGGAAGCCTGGGCAATGGTGGCAGTTCACCTATTAGTGGGTTGACTGGAAGCCTGGAGAAGCTCCAGAATTCTGAACCTAATGCACCTCTAGCTGGTCTGGAGAAAATGGCAAGCAATGAAAATGGGACAAACTTCCGTTTTACACGTTTTGTGGAAGACAACAAAGAAATTGTAACAAATTAGAATAAACCTTATCAATAACATTCCTGCGAATAGTGCAACCTAGGGTTGCTTTCTACAAGTCTACAAACTACAAGTTATAAAGACATTCTTTTGTACCATGTTCTACTTCTAGAGTTCTAAGAGAGCTTATTTATTAGTGATATAACCTTGCTTTGCAAACAAATGCAAGCATTAACTTTGGTCTCCTGTATTTTGAACTAAATACTAATCGACTAGAGTGCTGTAAACTTGCTGTAACATTTATGGCAGTTGCAAGTCTGTTCTGCTAGGTGATCTTTTTCTGGCATTAACTTATTTTCTATATCCAGTTTAACATGAACTCTGGTATTGATGCACCGCCTCAGTGATGCATTAGATCTCTAATAAAAGTCTGTATATAAATGTATACTTTGATCTCGCTGGAAATTTTATCAGCAACACATTGTTTAATTTTCCAAACAGAATTAAGAAAAGGACTGAAAGCTGAGAATATAGACTGAACAGTGTGAGTCCTTTACAAGCTCAGTTTTTGATTTTTATTATAAAATTAAAACTGCTTTAATTTTTTTAGATTTAACATTTTTCGTTTTGAACTGTTTGTATTGTGCTTTTTACTTGAGTCGTCTTAAATGTTCATAAGTTTCTGTACAGTAATAAGCACGCAGATTATTAGAGAAGATACAAAAGTGTTGTTTTGGTAGTTGAAACTGAGACGTAACATTTTGCCTTGTAGGTATATTCATTACGGAAAATGTGCTGGACTTTCACAATGCTGCTAAGTATAGCATCTTGAACAACCTTCCATGGACAATTGTAGATGCTCCTGTATATACAATAAGAAATATCACTTTCATTAAAATGTACATATGTTCCTTGCAAGACCAAGCCCTACTTCTTGACCAAGGGAACAAGGATAGTGTTTGTTTATTTTGTATTAGATATGGGGGCGGGGAAAACACAACTTTGGACTGTTACATGCACTTTCTTGGAAAGTTGAAAGGAAAAGAGGTCCAGTTTCTTTAACATTTAATACTAACAACAGAGATACTGTAATTTTACTTGAGTAATCAAATACATTTTTGCAACAGATAAAATGTTGTCTCTGTGTTTTTAAAGTGTATTTGTATTTAGTAATGTCTCTGAATGTATTATTTAACCTTACCCCTGGGTATTAGAGGACTATCCAGGTATGTATATGTGTGTGTATCTATATGTATGTGTGGTATACATATGTGTATTGCATATTAATGGTTAGTATATATTTGCATATCCACTAAGAATGGGAACCTTGTCCTTTAACTATTCAGTGATGTCACTACTCCCAATCATCAAATTGTAGATATTTTGGCATTCTTCATCTCTTTATAAAAAATGCTGCTAACAAGGGCCTTATCGAGACTAGGTAAGTTTCCTTTGAAGGAAATTTTATATTGGATTTAAGGCTTCACTTGGTTCAAATGTTTTATATTTGATATTTACTTTATTCTCTGAGACTGTATGATTGAGGCATGTTTATGCTGCTTTGTCAGATTTAAAATGTACACTAAAAACCTTCATATATTTATTGGGGGCAGGGAGGAGGAATCAATATGGCCCTGCTCCCTACAGGTTTGATCCAGTATTCCTTATGCACCCACAGCTATCATTGACTTTAATGGGAGTTTTGGGACACAAGATTGGGGTCCACAATTTTTGTCTAGGAGAGGGTTTTTTGATTTTTTTTTAAACTTTGAAGTAAAACAATCATTTTGGCAGTTTTTAAATTATACAGGTTTAAAACAAATGAGAATCTCTAGTTTTATGTATATTGTGTATTTTTGCATGCCAATAATTCAAATATTTTTATTTTTTTAATGTCCTTTTGACAGAGAATGTAGGCCCTTGTAGCCTAATTACTTCTGTTATCTTGAGTTGGAGGTAGGGGAGAATGTACAGTATAATGCTGAGACTTAACTTGAAAATTATCTCCTGTGCAGTAACTATTTTTCATAGGGAATTTTCTTTTTCATTTTAATGACTATGCATCCTAAATACACTATAAACACTAATGCCTTTAGAAAAATGTATGTCTGTTATGTTAGTTTATATGTGACTCATCTGGTACATAAATATGCAGATTTGTTAACATGTAAATGTACACTAGAGGTAGTGTGTATCATCAATGTGAGTATCTAAGAATTTTGAGTCATTTTAGCCTCAAAAAGACAAATTAAACAGACTAATGATTTAATTAATGACATTTAATATGAATTACCTTTTTAGAATACCTTTACTTTTGTGTCACCAAGTGGCAGAAAAAAAGTTCTAGCAGACTTTGAATTTTAAATGGGCAGGGGGGTTGTTCATCTTTAGAACCTAACCTGTTCATTGGAGCTTTACCTGTGACTTTCACTGGGGGCAGTATTCAGCCATGTAAAACTCAGTCCTCCATTTAAAAATAATAATAATAATAAAGGGGGGGAGGTCCCTACTGCCATGCAGAGGGAAAACCATTAAGGCACTGTTAATGCCTTTGACCTCTTGGGGAAGAAAAGAGTGAGATCGCAAACAGGTCAGTTCTCTGCTGCGGTGGCTGCTGAAAAGAATTTGGCCCTACACTTACGAACTTCTCTGTGGGAAGAGCTATCCACTGCTTCCAGCCCGTATAGATGAACTCTTGTCAGGGTGTGGTAAACTTTGTGATTAATGACAAACTCCACAGCAGGGGGTAGCACTCAGCTATGAGTAGCATATTGTCGATAATGTCTTTTTAGCATTTGGTCTAGAAAATAATCAAAAATACAAAACTGTTATGGGATGTGTTGGGAAAGGCTGTAATGCTTTTCTGGAATACATCGGAACTAACTGCATATGGTCCTTTTTATTCTTCTTCTGATTGGCTGCTTACCAGCTGGTTTAGGATGCTAAGAGGTAGAGGATGCTAAGAGGGAAGAGGTCCTTGTCATGCTCCTTTGCTTCCCCTTTCCTGCTCAGCTGGGCCCTGGGGAAGAAGTTAGCATGTTTGACCCCCCCTCTAGGGCAGCAGCTGGAGTAGCCACTGCAACACAGGGTAACTGCTTGTTGAGCTGCAATGCTAAGCTTTACTAGACTGGGCTATATTCGGCACTGTGCTTTAAATACTATCTAAGGGTGGATTTTTTTTTTCTTCTTCTGTAGTTGGTGCGGGCTGGCTCCTGCGGTACTGGAAATAGAGTCTGTGCGTGTGTGATTGGTCTGAGCACAACTCCCAGTGATGCGGCAGAGGAGGAAGGAGCAGACCCTATATTGAAAGGGGGGTATTCTTTTAAAGAGAAGGGAATTATAAATGTGAGGCGCAATTCTCTCCTTAACGGAGTTACTCCATTGATTTCAATCGAGAGAGATTGGGCGTACACTTCTCCCTCTTCTGCTTCCAGAAGCATCAGCAGCTGTGAGTTACTGAGATTATCCACCTGCTGCTTTGTCCTTCTAGAAGAGGTTTGGCTCTGCCGGGCAGCTTCCCCTTTATTCCTACACAACAAGTGCATGGCTCTGTACAGGGGGGCTCATAGCTAGGTACATAGACGTACAATGGCCTCCTTTTCTTCCACCCTTTTCACCCATAAACCAGTTTGGTGGGGGTGTTTTTTGTTTTTTTGTTTTGCCTCCTGACCTAAATATTTCTGCCCTAAGCCATACTGCCCAGGAACGTTAACAATAGATCAGTTTCTTATCAGTGATGGGTTCAGATTCGTTCTGGCCTTCAGCACCAGGGGGACGTGGGAGGACCCCAGATCCTGTCCCTTCGCATTTGGCTGGTTTATTTAACACCATGAAAACTCAGAGCTAGCCTTCGGGGCCTTGTGTCTAAAGATCCCAGAGGAAGGAGCAGAAGAGATCTGGACCAATGTAGGCAGAGCCCTGTCCAAGCAAGGGTGGAAACAGTGAAGGGGAGGAGAGCAGGGACGTTGCAGAGGGAAGGGGGGATATTATGGAAGATTTTATTTTACAGCAAGACTTGGCTGCCAACTGCCCCAGCAGGGCTTGGGCAAGGGAAGTACAAGAAATATCCTAGCTCGTTCTCTCAAGAAGGGGAGGGGTGCCTGGGAATGTCCCAACTGTCTTTTCCCCTCCCCTTGGAGGGCAAAGAGGAGGTGAATTAGATCCCTCTTTCCTGAGTTTCAGGGTGCAGGACAAAGAAATCCCCTGGGAGTGCGGGGTGCTGTCCCTTTGGGAAACAAGGGGCGTGGTGGAAGATGTGACACACACACACACCACCGGGCCCTCGAGGGGTTGGGTGGAGAACGCTCGCAGCTGGGTTGCTGGGCTTGGGCTCCCCCCCCCCCCCCCGATCATTTAAAGCCGCTCTACACGGGCCAGTCCCCCGTGACTGCCGTCCCCAGCCCCGCTGCTTGTCCCTGGCCCCCCGGAGAACCAGTGCAGCGGCGGGTTCTTGGGGGGAGGGCAGGCGCATGCAGCTGGAGCGGTGTGAACTCTCTCTTGCTTGGCTTTTTAAAAAAGAGCTACACCCTCTTCATGTTTGCCCCCTCTCTGTATATCTAGGGCAGTGACTCTGTTCCGCGCTCCCGTGTGAACGCCCCCTCTCCGCGCTCACCTGGGCTGGCTGCACGCCGGAGTGCTTATCTCCCACGAGGGCAGCCTCTACGTTAAAATCCGATTCCTGTCTGTCATCTAAAGGGGCGGCTTTTCCCTCGGCCTGGGGATCTGAGCCCCGCAGGGGCATTAATCACGTAGGCGGGCTCTAGATAAGATTTCTCTCCCTCCCCCCGCCCCGGGGTTTGATTCTTGGGGCGCGGGTGAGCGGACTCTGCGGCTCGCTCCGAAATCTCCAGAGCCAGGCTCGCTTTAATCGTGTCTCCTCCCTCCCCGGTGTAACCAGCCCAAGCACGACGCGAGGCGGCAAGAGACGCTGGAGCACGTGTCAGCTGGGTGCGGGCGGGTCTGGGTGCAAGGGGCACTGCAGTGTGGAGACAGGGACCTTTCTTTGGGCTGGGGTTCACCCCCTTCCCCAGGCCCCGCAACGAGCCCCCCGCTGATGGGGAAGGAGGGGAGGCAGGTGTAGGGGGGTATGTGTGTGTGTGTGGGGGGGCTTTCCTCTATTCCCCCTGCAGGCTGTTGCGGAGGTAGGGCTGCCTGGCCCGCCGCCCTCCCGATCCGAAGTGACTGACTGTAACTCAAAGGGAAGGGGGAGATTTTCCGTAATGAGCCCGAAAGGCGAGACCACCTGAAGGCGGTGTCTTCGCTGACCACACCAGACGCATTCAGAGGTGTGTTTCTGATCCCAGACCTGGGGGGGAGAGACTCCCACCACGGGGCTGCCCCCCGAGCGGGAGGAGATCATGATGTATCCGTGTTAACTGAGCGCAGGGCAGAAGCTGCTTTTACAGCGGCTAGAGGGAAGTCTCCTGCTGAAGTCGCTTTGCGTGGCGGGGTTGATGACTGGCCGCAAGCCTCCCAGAGAGCGGGGCATGGCTTTGCAGCGGGAGACCGGGAGCCTTCCCTTCCTGAGTCCGAAATACACTGCCCCATTTTTCCTGGAAGGTCTATACCCCCCTCCCCCTCACTTCCCCTTGCCTTCAGTTGCACAGCTCCTGCCGCTCCCTGCAAGTCAGGTTCACACCTGGCCTCCCTCTGCAGCCTCACAGCTGGGCTCCAATTCTCCAGCGCAGCGTGTCGCCGACCAGGGGGCCCAGCGCCCCGCACCCAGTTGCCACCTCCCAGTGCCACCTGCCCGGTCTTTCCAGAGGCCCCTTGCACCACATCAGCTGCCCCGCGTTTGTGCAGGGACCCGACTTGCACCCCCCCCGCCCCCCCCTTGTCCTACTGCCTCATGCCACCAACCCCTAGGCCGACATCGTCCCCGTTTCTCTCTCCCAGGGCCAGCTGCCTCCGAGTTTTGCGCAGTGGAAGGGGATGGAGCAGATTTTTGTGCCTTCTTTAAATGCAAACTGTTAAATCGGGCATTATTTGACACCAGCTCTTAGAGAGACAGGCACGGGAATGAAACGAACCCTGTTCCCCCCAGCGGTCCTCGGGCAAGTTGAAAGCATATCCTGAGTCCCCGCTCAGCTGGGGGGAATAGAGGCCTTGGGCCAGGATTTCTAATGCGTGTGCATTAGATTCATCCTTAGTCACAATTGTCACAAGAATCAGTTTTCAGAATAACAGCCGTGTTAGTCTGTATTGGCAAAAAGAAAAGGAGGACTTGTGGCACCTTAGAGACTAACCAATTTATTTGAGCATGAGCTTTCCTGAGCTACAGCTCACTTCATCGCCCCGAATTTTCCTCATTAGCGCCCCAGTTCCCCCTCCTCTTTCCATCAATAGTTTTTATGAGCTATTTTACAACTACATAGTTATACACACTCCACATTAATTGCATTAGCAGGAGTTTTTTGATCCTGAAAGATAATGCATGCATTTCAAAGTTTGGATCTAAACGTCTGGGAAAGGGGCATTTTTTGAAAAGCCTCCCTCCTCACGCAAACGAAGAGACAAAAACCCCAGCCAAATGTGTACACGCGGTGTCAGTTCGCACGCACGTTTTTGAACCCAAACCTGTGTGTAAAGTACGAACTGGCTACGTCGCTTGTCCTGAGCTCTTCCATCAACGCTGCCCGGACAAATTCTCTGGCTGCTGGCTGAGCCCGGCTGTTAATTACTGGGTCGGGGGAGGGAATCCATCACTAAATGTGTATTTTTGGTAAGAGATGGGTTGGGAATCGTTTCTGCAGAGCACGTCTGTCGATGAACCCCGATCCTTAAGGCCGGGGGTGTTTCAAAGGAACATGGCGGGGAGTGTAAACCGGTGAGTGTCCGGTAAAAATCCCATTGTGCGCCCTGTCATAGAAGAGGGGAAAGGAGCCGATGAGAGGACGGGGATGTAAGGAAAAGGGCCACCAAGATGCCTGCACACAGCCCCCATGTAAGTCCCCCCTTTTCCCCGTTGCACCCAGTCTAGCTGCGGGACAGGCATTAACAGCTGCTCCATTGGTTGGCAGGCGGGTACTGGGCGGGGGGCTGAATTCTTTCTCAAATCTTGGCTTGCAGGGGAGGGTTTACAACTGGCAGGTGATATTCACAACAAAGTTAAGGACTCGACTGGAGCAGATCTGTATTCAATGCCTCCCGCGTGTCCACCGGCCGCAAAGGAAGGAGCTGGAGGCAGACAATGCCGGAGCAGTGATAGGGAGGGGAGGGAGGCGATCTCCCCAAGCGCAGCTCAGATCAGCTAAAGGAAAGC